TCCTCCTCTTCCTCCTCCTCCTCCTCCTCTTCCTCCTCCTCTTCCTCCTCCTCGTCCTCCTCCTCCTGTCTTCCTGCTCCTCCTCCTCCTCCTCCTCCTCCTCCTCCTCCTCCTCCTCCTCCTCCTCTTCCTCCTCCTCCCCCTCCTCGTTCTATACATCCTCTTCCGCCTCGTTTTCCCCGTCCTGTCCTCGTTTTTTCCTCGTCCCCCTCCTCCTGCTCCTCCTCCTCCTCCTCCTCGTCCTTCTCGTACTCATCATCCTCTTCCACCTCCTCTTCCGTCTCCTCTTCATCCCCTCTCGGCGTCGTCGCGTCGCGGAAGCGCTCGACGGCATTATTTGTCCTATGGTTCGGTTTCTGTGGGGTGCCTTTGCTGGGCCCCCCAACCCAGCAGCCTCCTCGAACACATCGGCGTGTTATTCTTGTGCAAGCATGACGTATTCGAACAACAAGCGAAATAGCAACACGCTGACGGACCCCGAAGCGGCAGCATGTCACTGATACCCTTTGTCCTTCTCAGTCCTCCTCCATCTCCCCCCCTTCCTCCTCCCCTCGTCGTCGTCGTCGTCCCACGCGGGATGCGATGGTCTACGCGCCTGCGCTGGGACTCGGAGGAAACCTGCACGCATAATATCGTCTGATGCATCTTCGCACACTTCAAGCGAACGGAACTGCATTCCCATACATGCGATATATTCGAAAGCGCACCACCCGCGCCCACGAGGAACGAACGTAACGACCGTTGCGCTGCTGCAGGCAACAGGCGTCGGAGGCGGCTCTGGGCCACCCAAGCGAGATTCAGCAAGATGGGGGGGAAACGAGACAACGAGAAGCAGTAAGCAGGGAGAGAAGCCGAGAACGAGAGAGAAAGAAAAACGAGAGAAAAGAAACATAAGAGACGAGAAACAATGATCGGAACGTGCAAAAGGACGAGGGCAACTGACAGCAGCGAGAAGCACGAGAACCAGGCGAGCACGGACGACAAAAACATATCTACGCGATGAGCCATCTACCTCCTGGCTCGCCCGCCCTGGGCCACTGCCCTCGAGCTGGTCCAAAAGATCCTGCGCGCGCCGCTCAAGACTTCTTTTGGGAGCCTGACCGGTCAGGTGCTGTTGCCTTAACACCTTCATGGCCGCCACGATGTTCAGCTCTACCTCGCGATATTCTCATGTGCTCAGGAACCAGCCGGACGTAGAATTCCGCGTGCTTCTTGTCGACGCAGTCCTCAAGCCTCGTGCAGAGAATGTGCATTCGCAGCTCTGGGGAAGCAGGGGGATGAGCCTTGGCGAATTCATTGAATAGGTCTTTGCTGGCAGTATCAGCTGGCACATTGAGTTCCATCAGGAGCTTCACGAATGCCAGCTCGTCCTCTCCGTCACCAGACCGACCATGACTGCGCTCAACATGATTATTGATATCTGCCTTCGTGCTAATGTAGATAACACGCAACCGCGAGCGCCGCCCGTAATTCTTGAGCACTCCTCAAAGACAATGTTGCAAGAGTCTTCACCAGCTCTTGAAGCTTCGAAGCTGGATCTGCCCCCATGCGGCGGCTCTTGTGCTGGCTCTCGGGACTGGCCGCCCCCTCGAGCCGCTCATCGCTCCGGCAGGGTGCTCGAAGCAAGCCGCCAGCAACGCGACAAGCAGGAAACCGGTGCGAACCATGGTGCCCTGGCTGATTGGCAGATGGAAACGGAACAGTCATCAAATCGAGAAAATGATCGGTCAAATACACATCGTTAAAATGCCAGCCGAACCGCTTCAGATCCGGATGCACGACATCAGGATCACACAACATGCACGTCAGAGGGCGCTCCACCACCAGAGAGGGGCAGAATCTGTTACATTTTTCCTATTCGAATCTGCACCCCGGCAGACTGCGTGCCAAGCTCCGCTGAAGGTGATACCGTGCCTGAAGACGAGAAGTGAAGACTGCTTTGCAGGAAGAGCAACGATTACTTGCAGTGCAAGAATACTCGAACATGCAGCGACAATGCATACGACTGTGTGCTTGATGTGTTCGTAATCCTTGCCACGTGCGTTACCTAGCCCCGCAGATAACTGAATCGACCTTCGAGTCGCAGACAAACGACTCGTGCTCCTCCTCCTCCTCCCCCTCCTCCCCGTCCGACGCTTCGCCATCCAAGCCGCCTCCGCCGCCCCCGCCACCGTCGCCGCCGAGGGAAGGAGGAGGGCGAAGACCAGGAGGAATAGCCACACTCTTCCACGGAGAAGTCAGAATCCCAACATCTACCCAGATGAATGCTTCCCTGCAATCTACGCTCGTGAACAGCAATAGCGGACGTGGGGCAGCATCGATAATCGCCCCACTGTTTAACAGAATGCCCAGCGCCTCCAAATCAGAACACAACTGGTGAAACCAAGGGTGAGCGTTGGCATAGACTGATCCGTCTAGCGCCATGGGGGGCGGCCCTGGTCGAAGGGAAGCTCGCCGAAGAAGCGGCCAGCAAATGTACGAAGTCCCAAGGGAATCGAACAATAGTCTGCCACCGACGAAGACGGGCCTGCCTGAGTTCAGTAGAACCAGGAACGAGCCGGGTGGCCTTGAATTTTATACAGCATCGTTGGTCCAACACGTTCGCACCACATTTCCATCATCCATCGTGTGAGCAGAAATGGCAGCTCCGCGGAGAACAGCACGAGCTATCTAAGCCCTCGCCGCATCCTTATCTTCTTCCTCCTCTTCCTCCTTCTCCTCCTCCTCCTTCCTCCTCATTGTCCCTCCTCGTCCTCCTTGTGGCGTCAGGAGGGGCGTGATGGAGGGCAGGTGCTCAGGAGATGCCCCCATGCAATTAGCTGCCATGGGCTTCCCCCTCAAAAAGCCCCGCCGCCTCAGAATCTGTCCTGGACTCCTCCTGGTGTCCATCCTGGCCAGCGTTCCGTTCCGGATCGACTTCTGACGGCCCTCGGCGGTGGACACACCTCCATTTAGTAAACCTCCCTTTAGTGAAAACCGCCTGGGGCCGAAACCGACGGACCTGGAACCGCAAAAATAAATGCCGCGACGCCCTCTCGCGAACCGAAAACGACCAGTTCACTAATCGACGTGTCAGGGTAGGAGGTCTATCGACCTCCGAGGCCCCGAGGCCTGAAAACGAGCCCCCCCTGTGGCCGACCGCGCCCACCAGACTGCATGGTCGGACCTCGATCCTCGTAGACATCGACGCAAGGGTGGGCCTCCCGAGGCCCTGGCCCCTCCCCCGGGACCGATCTTTCTTCGTGAGTCGGTTTGTGACGACACTCCAATGCCCCCTCGCGTTGCGAAACAATCACGACGGGAGGTTTTTTGCTATGTTCGGGCTCCGGGAGCCCTTCCCGGGCCTCGGGACAGTCAAAAAACGACAGGACGAAAAACCGGTCCCCGGGAAGGGGTCCGGACCTCTGGGGGCGACGGTGTGACAAAATCACGACGTCGGGGGTCTGTGCTTTTGGGCCCCGGCGGCCCCGGTAAGGTTGCAAGCCATCGAAAATACCCAGACCCTTCCGCCGTGGTTGTTCACGACGCGAACTGGCTACGCTTCGGGATGCAAGTCGGGCCTTCGGCGGCCATTCGGCCCAGGAACCCAAGAGCGCCATCGGCGCTGGAAAGCATCCCGGCTGCAGGACCTGGGGGTGCACACGAAAACGCCCGAGAACCTCCCCGCCGAGCCTCGAGCCTCGCTGCAGTCGAATTTGATTGGAGAGGACACGCGAGAGGACACAAGACCCTTCCGAGGGCCACGTTGCCGTAATGATAGGCATGTCGAAGACATGGGTCGCGAAACCGAAGGCACAGGGGCACCCTTGATTTGGATGGGGTCGACTTAAGTACCAGCCCTCCAGCCCTCCAGCCCCCGATGCTTTGGCAAGCAACGCCGCGCCGAAGCTGGACGCCCGATTTGTCCGGGAGAACCGCGGTCCGGGGTAACTCCGGTCTGTCTGGGTCCCCACGAGGCGCGATTCTGTCGTTACCCCTGACTGCCCCCAGCCCCGATGACTCCGGAGGGTTGGGCGCCCATGTTATATCCGGGAGAACCGCGGTCCGGGGTAACTCTGGTTTGGGTCCCCGCGAGGCGCGAATCTGTCGTTACCCCTGACTGCACCCAGCCCCGATAACTCGGGAGGGTTGGGCGCCCATGATATATCCGGGAGAACCGCCGTCTGGGGTAACTCCAGTTTGGGTCCCCACGAGGCGCGATTCTGTCGTTACCCCTGACTGCACCCAACCCCGATGACTCGGGAGGGTTGGGCGCCCAACATGTTATATCCGAGAGAACCGCGGTCTGGGGTAACTCCGGTTTGGGTCCCCGAGAGGCGCGATTCCTTCGTTACCCCTGACTGCACCCAGCCCCGATGACTCGGGAAGGTTGGGCGCGCAACATGTTATATCCGGGAGAACCGCGGTCTGAGGTAACTCCGGTTTGGGTCCCCGAGAGGCGCGAATCTGTCGTTACCCCTGACTGTCCCCAACCCCGATAACTCGAGAGGGTTGGGCGCCCATATCATGTCCGGGAGAACCGCGGTCCGGGGTGACTCTGGTTTCGGCCCCCGAAGCGCGAATCTGTCGTTACCCCTAACTGCCCCCAGCCCCGATGACTCGGGAGGGTTGGGCGCCCATGTTATATCCGGGAGGACCGCGGTTCAGGGTAACTCCGGTTTAGGTCCCCGCAAGGCGCGAATATGTCGTTACCTTTGACCGTCCCCAGCCCCGATGATTCGAGAGGGTTAAACGTCCGAGGTATATCTGGAATGCCCGCGGTCTGGGGTAACTCCAGTTTGGTCCCCCGAGGCGCGAATCTGTAGCTACTCCTGACCGCCCCCGGTCCTGATGAGTCAGGGATCTGACGAAGGTCCCGGGGAATGTAGAAGACATGCGTCGCGAAACAGAGGACACAGTGGCACTCTTGTTTTGGAAGGGTCGACCTTCCATTAGCTCGGGCCTGTCCCCCTAAGGGCGGATTTTGGATGAAAAACTGGAAACAAAAAATACCCCCAGCATATGCAACACGTATGTAACAATCCTAAAAAATCGTCCCCGGATTTGTTTTGACTGTTTTTGAACAATCCTCCTGTAGAGGGACAATCCGACTTACACCTACCAGTTACACTCGACTGTGACTCCAGCCTCGACGCCTCGCCAGGCCGTGCCGCGCCGAAGGTCGCGGCGCCTGTGCCAGCGCCGATGTCGCAGATGGACCTGCAGCTGCCCGGCTCGCGCTGCCTGGCCCCGCGACGCGGGGGGGGCACGCCGCGGCCGAAGGCGGTCGGCGGGTGCGGCGCTGGGGGGGAGGGAGGAGGGAGTGAGGGAGGAGGGGGGCGAGGGGGGGAGGGAGGGGGGAGGTTAGGAAGCAGCTGCTGGGAGATCTTCGCCAGAAGGATCTTGGAGGATTAGCCTCCATATGGGGGACTGTTGCGCCGGACGCCAAGAGCCCCCTACGAGGGCTCCAGGACGGCCCCAAGAGGGCCCTAAGACTTGCCAAAAAGAAGGACTCAAGACGGCCAACGATCGTTCCAAAAGGGCCCCAAGAGAGAGGCACAGAGGGAGAACACGAACTTCACATCCGACCTTTCCCCCCGAAGAGGCCCCCCACATGCCACGAGAAGCCCTCGAGCAGCCCAAAAGATGCCCCCGACAAGCCCCAAGAGGAGCTCCGCCAGGCCCCCAACCGCTCCTAAACCCCTTCTGGGATCGGCGGGATGGCGTGCAGTGCGGGCGCGGCCGCAAGAAACCCGCGCAAGATACCCAACCCTGAAAACCCGCCCGCGAGGTGCACCCGAGGGGAATCCCGGAGCACCCTGAACGCAGCAGCTTCTTCAAACGGCTGCGGGAAGTTACGGCGCAGCGCGCGGAGCGAAGAAACCCAGGGTGGCCTGAGGAAAAGCAGCTGGTTTCTTGATGTGCGCCCCCACTGTAAGCTTTTGGATGAATGGCGTGAAGGAGCCACCACCACCACGCCACGCGTTCTCGACGTGAACGCGCCCAAGCAGTACGAGCTCGAGCCATCCCCTGCACCTCTGCCACGGACCAGGGGGGGCCTCGTCGTCTTCTCTTCGCAGAGAAAACATACAGCAAATCTGAATAATCGTGTAAGGAAGAGGTGGGCGGCACCTGCGAGGGTGGCGGCACAATCTTGGTGCCCGAGGGAGGGGGGGGGTGAGGGGGGAGAGGCGGGAGCAGGAGGACGACGGGGGGATCGAGGTTGTTCGACGTGTGTGTGTGTAGAGAGAGAGAGAGAGAGAGAGAGGTTGTTGGACGTGTGTGTGTGTGTGTGTGCGTGTGTGTGTGCCGTTCTGGGCCTCTGGGGGCGGCGCGGAGAGGTGCCCAAGCCTCCCTTAGTCGCAAAACACACAAACGCATTCACGACGGAGGCCTTCGTTCCGCCTCTCGCGGCTAGGGGGACGCCAGCTGCGCACCCCGCCAGCATGGCCCACCCTGAGCCCAGCATCGGTGTCTGAGCCTTCTTGGCCAGGCCAGGAAGGCCCAGATCCCTCCGCGTCGTGAGGAGGAGGAGGACGAGGAGGAGGAGGAGGAGGAGGAGGAGGAGAAGGAGGAGGAGGACGAGAACCAGGAGGAGGAGGAGGAGGAGGAGGAGGAGGAGGAGGAGGGAGGAGGAGGGAGGGAGGGAGGGAGGGACAACCAAAGCACGCCGAAGGC